GCTCTCCCGCCCGCCAGCGGGCGTACGGTGGGGCGTGGGAGCGAAACGGATCGCACGCCTCACCGGTTCCCGAGCTGGATCGTGCACCCTGCCCCCACGGGGCGCGTGTGGCGCACTTTTGGTCCCGGGCGCTGACGCCAGTGCAAGACCTTTCCAAGGGAGGATCGGCCCTCAACCAGCCGATGGCGTGGATGTGGCCGTTTGAGCGTCATTGTGTTAGTGGCACCTCCATTGACATCCGGAAATGTTTGCGCCTATTCGGCCAATTAAGGCACGCTGGCCACGTGAGGCCCAAAGCACGGTGCCATCAAGCGGATTTGAGCGGCGCCACTGGGCCCGGAGCCCTGGTGAAAGGGCACGGCCAAGCCCCGGACGAGAGCCCCCCCCGAACCAGCGTGGCGTGTGCGCTAGTCCCAGAAAGAGGAACACCTCAGTCGCAGGTAGACGTACGCCCTATAGCCCAAGAGGGACGGATGCCCCTGGGCATGAGCCAGGCAGGAGGTGTCCCCAAGCACAAATGGAGGGTGCTCCAATCCTAGACAGAAAAGCGCCCCAAAGCCTAAATGGAGGATGCTCCAATCCTGGACAGAAAAGCGCCCCTAAGCCTAAATGGAGGATGCTCCAATCCTAGACAGAACGGCGCCCCAAAGCTCAAGGCCTAAATGGAGGGCGCCCTACATCTAGGTAGAGCAACGTCCAGATCTACATAGGGAGGCTCCCCTAGAGCCAAGTATTTAAGCGTCCCGGACCAGGGTAGGCGGCAGCTCCCAAACCCAAGGACAAACTTCCCAAACTAAGGAAGATGGTGTCCCAGGTCAAGATGGTAGGCGCCAATGACATTGGTGAGGTGCGTCTCCGGTACAGTCTGGAAGGACATCTCGAAGCCCACATAAGGGGGCACCCCAGACCTACTCGTGGTGTGTCCCCTCCCCCCCCCCCCATGCAAACCACAGAACAGGGTGAAGCGTGGTAACGGACCGCCTCGTGGCCTGAACAGAGCGGCACTCCCAGCTTAGGTAGGCGTACCCAGCCCGTGGACCTCCGTAGGCCCACGAGGACCAATCCTGCGGGAGGCTGCTGCAAGGCTGGGCGCAGGCAAACGGACGGCCTCCAGGGGCCACGGCGTAAATCGGGGCGGCCCGGTGCAGGCGTGTTGTGCCACTGTGACAAAGCATGGACGAACTAGGTGTGTGTACACGAGTTGAGTAATATCGTCGTTGGAAGATAATGAGCCCATGAGCGTCACCACTATCGGCGAGCGGAGGGTCGCCCGCGGAGCCCCGGGTACGATGGTGGCGTGGATCCGACTTACGAGGGTCCCAGCTCTTACCTTGTCACGACACGGGATAGGAGAACATTGGATTGAAAGATTGACCAGCCTGAACTGGTTTTGATGGATTGAAGTCACGGCCAATAATTTAGCCGGGATTGGTTATGTTGGTAGCTATGTGTTGTTTGCCATATTGAGTGAAATAGGATCAAATAAGACTTGCTGTATGTTTATTGTAACTAAGACTGCAGGTGGGGAATTGCATTGAAAGGGATGCGTTGAACCGCACTGAGCCCTGCCACCTTTTTGAAGATATAAAAACATGCCTGCAAACGTACAAACGCCAATGGGTGCAAATGTCTGCCGGCAGACAGAGGCACCTTGATTTTGGAAGTACGTTTTGTAGAACATCGCTACATCTTCAGGTAACTTCGCTACAAACGGCTCTTTTTTTAGCAGCCTGTCGTCGTGAACTGGCGATCGCGCATGGGTATCACGGGAAACCGAAACAGCGAAACATGCGCTGAGAGAGAACATACAAAGGAGCCAAGCAGTAATCACGAAATCGCGCCTCGGTTCTCACACGGGAAAAATTGACGCCATACTCGGGCGCAAAATGACCATTGCAGTTGGCGCGCCCGAAAACACTAATAAACAACAAACAAAAATTGACGCCGCTTCATGTGCGATAAGTGTCGTTTGGTGTCGTCCGGCAATGGACGAAGTCCATGCTACAGGCTATATAACCTGAACCCTTTACAGTGCAGTCTCGACGGAGTAAAGCGGTCTTCACTCCGACGTGTTACTGATGGCTGGCATGTGTATCGGCGCTGCCCTCCGTGGTGGTGAACGTCATCGTCATCTCGAGGGAACATCTGTGACGAATGGCTCAAGTCCCGAACCACCTAAGGCCTGTTTCGGTGTGGCAGGATATCAGTAATCGTGCAAACTCCGGCAGAAAGCTAGTCAAAATTGCATCGCATATCGCTGATGTGGTCAGACTTGCTCGGCCGGCATATTGCAAGGTTCATTACAGGCGGCCGAAACGTACCACAACCATGAGGATCCCTTTAAAGGTGCGTTTTCTATGACGATCTGTCGAAGTCTTTATCTGCCGATCTCCGGAGGGCTCTCTTCGTGGATTGTTTTCGCGTAAATCTCTAAAGCTTCTGCCATGGTCGATGCTGTAGGGTCTTTGTTTGCTCCACCGTCATGCTTCACGTGCTAGTGCATGCCACGCCAGTGACCCTCAAAGCACCATCAACTGCTATTTTAAAATGGCGTGCTCCCATAAATGCCCGTGAAAATTAGTTCTTACCGCTGTCGTCACTGAATCTCTTCCGTGAAGCTAAACTCAAGTTCTGCTGCCAGTAGGTGTGGCTCAAAGGAGCCGGCAGTGCAGCATTCACAGTCCTCTCCCGTGTTTTAGAGCGACAGATGGGCATATGCAGATTAAGAGGAGCACATTACAACGGCGGCGTGTCGCCGCGGCTGCTGCCCAAATGAATCAAGGAATGTTCGCTTGGACATCAAGGGGATAAGCCAGCCCGCTGAGCCCTCAGCCGTATGATTGGCTGCCAGGCCTGGTACCGGCCTTGTTTCCCCAGCGTAGATCCGTCACATTTGTCAGTGCTTTGTTGTGTTTATTTTTGGGCCGTGTCGCGACCTTTCGACTCAGCTGGCGCTGCTAAATTGCCTCGGCGACGGCCACGCTGACAAAAGGAGTCGGCGCTCCATTCACACGTCTAGTAAAACGTGAAATTGCCTCTAATGTTCGGTGTGCCGGCAGGCTCAAAGGCACCGCTGCGTCCGCCTTGTATGGAACACGTATCCGGCCAGGCCCTCTTCCCGCTGTCCCGGAGTCCCCAAATTAGGCCCGATCATGGGTGGTCATTAGGGAGGGGGACGCCGGGCCGGCATCGGACCGTCTCGGGCAGAGCGACCCCGGCCCGCCAGCCCTCCCCAGCCTGTTTTTGTTGGGCAACGGCGCCGCGCCGCCCTGCCGCCGCTTGCTCCGGTGCACAATGCGGCCTGCTCCGGTGCACAATGCGGCCGCGCGACGCCCGGCGGACACCTGTAATTCTTGTTACCTGCGCGCGAGAGGCCCGGGGCAAGGCTCCCCGGCGCTGGCCGTCCTGTTTACCCGGCCGGGGAGGGGACGCTGAACCCGCGGTAATGAGGCGGAGCGTCGGGCCGCCGCCGCCCCGCCGCCGCCGTTCGTTCGCCCCGCAGCGGGGACGCGGCCCATGGCGCCCCGGCTGCGCGCCCGCGCTCACGCCGTGCCGCTGGCCGGCGCCGCCGCGGCTCTGGCGGTCTCAGCAGTGGATGCAGATACACCTGCCGCCGTTGTTCTGTCGCTCTGCGCACTGCCTGGCCGTACGGCCCGGGCATGTGCGAGTGGGCGTCCTGAACGCTTTGGCCTATCACGTGCCCTAATGGGTCTGCTCAGAGCTTGTGTTTGCTCTGGTGACGCGCGTTCGGGCCGTTCCGCTGGTGCTGACGTAATTGCACAGCGAATGCGGCACAAGTGTCGACGGTCTTCGCGATGGCCAGGCGCGCCTGGTCTGTAGGCACGCGGGGCATTTGGCCGCCACTTGCGCGCGTGACAGGCTGGCCAGTAAGCAGGCGCCGCTGTGGCGCGGGTCGAGCCTACCAGCGGCGGGTGGCGTGCGGCGCCGACGGCGGCTCGCCTCCCAGCCGCCAATTAGGCTGTCGTTAGCTGACTACGAGCCGGTGCGTGCCGGTCCCGCCGGCGCTGCAGACAACGCCCAATCAGCGGGCGCCGCCCGGCGAAATCTCCTAACCGGAGGTGCCCAGCCGGACCTTCGAGCTCGTGCAGCGCCGGCCGCACGCAGCCGAAGCCACCAGAGAACCGGCCCCGAAATTAGCCGCGTAATGGCCGATAGCCACGCCGGATGGTTTAAGAGGCGCGTCGCGTGCGCGTGCGCAGGCCTACCTCACGCGGCCGGCAGCGGCATGGCCCACCGCTTGTAGCCCACATGGTCCGCTTTGGGAGCTGCCTGGCGATATGCGCCTTGACCCCCGTTTGGTGAGGTCGTGGGTCGTGAACTGGGCTCGCAATACTAGCTCAGCAATACAATACTTGACCAGCACGGTGGCATACCCACGCTGCTATCCACGGTGGTGGATACCACTGCTACCCGCCTGCACACCGGGGTCGATCTGCCAGCGGGCAGACCGGCCGGCGCGGCCGTGCCGTGTCTTTGGGGCTGGCGCCGGCTCGCGCCGATTATTCTGATCAATACTGGTGACAATAAGTGCAGCGCTTCCGTGGCGACCTTTACGCTGTGATTAATCATCAGCGCAGCCCAGCCACGGGTCGATACGGGCACGGCGCGGCACGGCCCGGCACGGTCCAGCCCGGTCCGGCCAAGCCCGGTCCGGCCGCGGCTTGCCATCCGCCTCGGATGGCCGCGTCAGCCGACGTTCCAAGCGCGTCCCACCGGACACGGATGCCTTCATTTGGTAGCGCGCGTGTGTGTACGAGGTGTTTATTTTGTCTTGCCTGCCGGTTGCGCGCTGGGCGTGGGGGGGGGGCTGTTAACTGAGCTGTGACTCGTGACACGGTCGTTGGCCACTGACGGGCGACGCTGGAACGCTCGGCGCCAGCCGCCGGCTGCCCGCTAGCGCAGGGGGCTCACTGGAGCAGCACCGCGTGGGGCGACTGGCCCACTCTGGCGCTGACGCTCGCGCCGTCTTCGTATTGCAGAGGAGCTGAGACGTCGCGCGGCGCAGCGTGCATTGGGCGGCGGCGGCGACGGGGGCTCGGGGTCTGGCCAGCCGCCGGCCGCCGGCCAGGATCGCCGCTCGCCGGCCAAGGACCTGCCCACCCGCCAAAGGAAGCTGGAGCGCTCCGAGAGCCGACGCAACGACCCGCTCACCGCCCCCAAGCTGCGGCTCAAGAGGTACGGACCAACGGAGGGGGGCGGCCGGCCCACCACCCCGCGGTCGGCGGCGAGCCGCGGGCTGCTGCCCGTCGGCTGCTGCCCGTCGGCTGCTGCCCTCTTTTCGTCTGTGTCTTTCCTCTGTCTCCCAATTATTTTACTTGCTTCTTTGCCTCGACTCCTGCACTGGTTTCTGTATTTCTTTTTTTCCTGTTGGTTTTCTCCCTTCCGCCCCTCATGCCTCGTTGCGTTGTTTCATTTTTCTTACTCCGTCTTCACCTTCCCCATTTTCCAAGTGCTTTGTAACGTCATTTGTCGAAAACATGACGTCATGATCCGTCACTGTTTAGAGAAATCTCACCGGCATGGCCTCGAGAAAGAGGTCATAGATCACGAGCTGCCAGCGTGGAAAACTTGCAACGTTTGCAAGACATGTGAAAGTTGTGCCACACCGTCAAAAGCACTTGGCCACACTGCCAAAAATTAAGCGCCGTGCTGAAAACCGCGTAGAAGTTGTCCCGAAAACCTTAGGAGGCCCGGAGGTCACCCGCCGTGGATTAGGCTAGAGGAGTACAGTGGAAGAATTTCAACACTGCGTTTTCAGATTGAAAATTTGAAATGCTTGATACGAATTCGACGAATTCAGACGAAAACCAAAAAGTTGTTCGCAAGCCACCGATCGCCTCTAATCCAGAGGCGTGCGTGTGTGGTCAGATTTCGCTTTACTGCTCCAAGTGTAAAGAGTAGGAGCTGTGCCACCTTCACAACAACCGTGTCAGCAGCAGACTATCACAACAACCCTCCACGATGAATGTGCTGGACTAGTTGCATGACAGAGCACCATGATACATGGTGCTACAAAGCGGACCTGGGTCACTTAGAGTGAGTAAACAATTTTCAAGCCGAATTATGCCCGTCAGAGCCATAGGCCACGTGGCGTTGGTGTGTGGCCACCACCGACGGGTGGACTTGCAGCGCGAATGAGTTTGCTTGCCAAACGAAAGACACGTTGGAATCGAAATGAAATATTTTTGGCTGGCATGAGATGCCTTACAAAGCAGTTTTGCCACGAAGCAAGTATCGATCTACGAAGCAGGTATTTTAGCGGTCCTTTAGAATACCGAGTAAATCTTTGAAAAAAGTGCTTGATTCACTGATGGAAACAACTCCAAGGAAGGATCTCCCGAAAACTGCTCCAAGTGGAAAATCTGAGCTTTTGGTGGCGAACTTGTACTCGACTGCGGGCTCCGGTAGCTCAGTTTGTTGAGCGTCTGTCTTCGCCCGCTGCTACACGAGTGGTGGCATGGATTCATAAAACCTTTTGAAGCGCTCGCATTTTGCTCATGACTGAGATGGTGGCCGCCATTTGTAGCGGCCGCGCTAAAGTTCAGATGACGCCAAACGACAGGACGGATCGAAACATTACGGCATGCAAACTTTTCGCCGCAAAATGTTCTCTTAACCTGGAATTTACGATCTGATGACTGCGGTCAGGGTTCACGCAACAAGCACTGCATAGCACGAGCTTGTGGTCCCAGCGATCTTTCAATCAAGGCGTTCGGAGTAAGTCTTAAAATACTGAAGAACGAATTATGAGATAGGCGCAGTTGAGTGGCGCAGAGTGCCCGGTCGCGACACTCTGTCGCCGGCCCCCGACGCCCACGTGACTAACACGTGGTATCTGTTCTACGACAAATGATGGGTGTTGGCCACGCTGCCGGCCGCGTGTCCACACGCCTTCGAGGTCACGTGACTCAGGTGACGCGGCGCGTTACGAAAGGTCGGCCGCCGCCGGATGCGGCTGTCCTATGTGCCGCTGTCGTGGGCCTCGCCGCCCGTTGTCATGCGTCGCGGCAGACGACAGCGATGAAAGAGATCACACCGGCACACCGCCGTCGGCCCCGTGGGGCGCCTGCCAACGGTCGCGGACGGTGTGCGAGCCGAGCCCCGTCGCGAGGCAGCTGTCTTGCCGCGACACGGGCCGAGAGCCCCCGCCACCGCCGCCGCCGCGTTGTCCCGCCGCGGCGGCGCTGGGACTGATCCTGTCTGGCCCGCGGCCGGCCGGGCCAGCTATCGACCCGTGCGCCTGACGCATCCACCGCCGCCGCCCCCGCGTGTGGCACCCCCGCATGTTGCACCCCCGCATGCTCCACCTGCAGCCCCGCCCCCGTATGCGGCACCCCGCGTGCTCCACCTGCAGCCCCCACCCCCACATGTTGCACCCCGCATGCTCACCTGCAGCCCCACCCCGCATGTTGCACCCCGCATGCTCCACCTGCAGCCCCACCCCCGCATGCTTCACCTGCAGCCCCGCCCCCGCATGTGGCACCCCCGCGTGCTCCACCTGCAGCCCCACCCCCGCATGTTGCACCCCCGCATGCTTCACCTGCAGCCCCACCCCCGCATGCTTCACCTGCAGCCCCGCCCCCGCATGTGGCATCCCCGCGTGCTCCACCTGCAGCCCCGCCCCCGCATGTTGCACCCTCTGCTCACGGAAGGTGCAACTTCCGAAAGGTTGCCCGCTGCCCGCGCCTCTGTCCGTGTCACCCGCCGCCCGTACCCTAGTCCGTTGCATCCGCCTCCCCTACCCCAGTCCGTTGCACCCGCCGCCCCTGCCGCCGCTCGTTACACCCTCCACCCGCACCCCATCCGTCCTGCCCATGGTAACGACGCTACCCGTGGCTCCCGCTACCAAAACGACCTTTGGGCATTTCACGACGCGCGTAACGCAGGTCATCAACGTCGCGCTCTGACGCTCACGTTACCACAGGCTTTGGGGAAATGGCAGCTGGGTAGCAAGGATCGATCCTATGCAGGGACAACCCGTCCTGCGGCAACCCTGTAGGTTCCAACTGGACTAGGCGGGCCACGGCCGCCGCGTTGTCGCAGCGGCCAGGAGCGGGCAAACCGCCGAGGCGTCGACTGCGTCCTTGTCCGCGGCTGTCGGCTGCTGCTCTCATGCTGCGCCCTCCGTTGCAGACAAGACTCGGCGGCGTACAGTGACGCGGGTGACGACTCCGCCGACGGGCCGCTGGACATGTCGGTGCGGCGCGGCTCGCCGCCGCCGTACCGGGCCCGCGGCGCCTCGCCGCCCCGCCAGCACGGCCGCCCGTCGGTCATCACGTGCGGCCCCGGCCGCTCCGACTCGGAGGACGGCGCCGGCTCCGACGGCGACCAGCGCGCCGACGACCTGCGCACCCGCGAGGTCATCAAAGGTCAGTGCAGGCCGGCGGAAGAGGGCGAGGTCGACGTGAGTGGGTCAGACGTAGGAGTGTGGCCAGGATTATCTCAAGTGTGTGTGGGCGGGTGGGGGGGGGGGAGGGGAAGGGGGCGGAGCTAGGGGAGAACATATTACCCCGATTTCTTACTTTCTGTCAGGAGCCATCAGGTAAAAAATGCAGGTCTAGGGAGGGAGGGGGGGGGGGACCCTAGCAGCGCCCGTTGTCAGACATCACGTGGGCGTGGTTTGCAGTTGCACCAGAGTGAGAGAGAATGTCTTAATTTGAATTGAAGATGACACTTCACTGGTGGAAGCGATACCAGGCCGTTTTGAGAATATGGAAGGGTTCTCTAAATTGCAAAGGTGAAGTGATTTAACTCCGAAGAAAAAAGATCTGAACATGATGGAGGATATCTTCATCACCTTTTTACGTATGAAAACCTTAAGGGATTTTTTGGTTGTCCTGGTACGTTGATTTTTGTCCCCATTCATGCCGCGGCTCCTGGCCGGGCATGGCCTGGTAATTTTTGGGACTCGTCGTTCAGGTCAGGTCTTTGAGGGGGTCATCTGACCGAGGCCACGGGGGAGCCGCAAGGGATCGCAGCTCACCTCTGCGTTCTCGCATGACGTTCAGCGACCGACGGTCCACCCACGCTCGACCAACGAGTGACACACGTGGACCGGGTCCGCGCGCCCAGCCGCCCTGCGGCGCCCCGCCGCCGGGGGCCGTGAGTCACGCGGCGGCGCGGGATGGCCCGGGGCGATAATCCGCCCGTCGACAGGGCACCTCTTCACACGTGCTGACGTCAGCAGGCCACCCGTGCGCCGGTATCGGCCCTCCTGAGCCAGCGCGTATCAGCGGCGGCCGCCACCCCTGAGCATCTGACTCATGCACGCCGCACTCGGCGGTGTAAAGGGCGCCGGCGACGGGGCGTGGCCGGGATGAGGTCGTCTGGACCCGGCCGATGACGGCGCGTTCTCGGTACTCAGGAATGCCCCAGCGGACCACTCGGTCGGCCTGCCCCGCGCACGTGTTTCGTGTGAGTTTGGACAGCGTCGTATGGGCTTCCCAGGCCCGCTTGTGGGGCCGAACTTTGCAAGTTGGCCACGGGCCTGACGGCAGTCTTGGAGTGGGCCCTGTCCCCCAAGACCGTGAAAATGTATTTATCGCCTCTGTAGGGCTGATTACCGGGCGACCACGTACTCCGTGAGCGTTGTTCAGCACTCGTCCCGTCGATTTGATGGAGCACATCTGGAGGGCCTTATAATCACCATATGCAGAAACGGTTCAGCCTCCGACGCTTTCTGGGAGCGGCGCGCTGCGGCTGGCGCCGCGACGTTGGTCTCGCGTGCTCGCTAAGCCCAGCAGCTCCGCTAAGTCGACCTTTCGACCGTCGCGCCCAGGGCACCACCTGCCTCACGTGCATCAGTGGACGCCTGATTGGTGATCAGCCGCGGTGTGTAGCGCCGGCATCGCCATCGGGGCATGACCTGGTGCCGGTGATCGCATGGCACAGCCCGTCCAGCGGTCGGTGCAACCAGCAGAAGTATGGCATTGCTGGTTTCCCGAATAGGGGCTTGGTCCCAACGTCCATCAACGTCAACGTCAATGTGGCGTCCGGCTTTTAGCCAAGTGTCGGAGCTTCGGTAGCCGGTAGCTTCGGTAGCTTCGGTAGCCGGTAGCTTCGGTAGCCGGTAGCTTCGGTAGCTTCGGTAGCTTCGGTAGCCGGTAGCTTCGGTAGCTTCGGTAGCTTCGGTAGCTCCGGTAGGCCGCTGACGTCGCGGCGTGGCCAAGTGTCGGACGTCGTAGTTTGTTGGCTTATTTTGATCGAAGGCGCGACTCGCGTGAGGCATGCACCTGGAGGTCTTTCACGTGGTTCGCGCTAGGTGCCCACATTCAATGTGCTTTCGCCGAAATCCGGCCGCCGGCCGTCTGAGCTACGGTAGTTTCGATAGCAGGTAGCTGCGGTAACTTCGATAGTCGGTAGCTTCGGTAGCCCGTTGACGTGGCGGCTCGGTGCGGATGGGCAGGCCAGTCAGGTCCGGGTATCAGCTCCTGCTCGAGTGCTGCTCTTACTCGGCCAGAGTCGCACACAGAATGCTCTTATGTGTGGGGCGAGGGAGGGGAGGGGGGGGGGGGCAATCAGTCTTTCCCACCGTACAGCCCAAAGGGCAGCGAACATTAATTATGAGGTCACCACATTTCCCTGTGATTCATTCACGGGGATTGGAAAAGTTGTAAAACTTTGACCAATATAGTTAGTGATAAATTGATTATAATGGTTACGAATTCATTACTTGTAGTTCCGTGTAAGCCGTTTGAATGCACAGTCGGCTCCATCCCCTTGTTCGCCGCCCGCAGCGTCCACGAACGGGACAATGCAGGCATGTTTAGATAGACTAAGCAATTAATCACCGCTGGGCCGGATTGCGCATCGATTAAGGACTTCAACCGTGCAGGCCGAGTGGTTCTGTGCAGCGATGAGTGAGCTTGGCTATTATTATTTCTTAGAAGGCAAAACAGGAGTGGAACCGGCCTATGTCGCTGTCAGAATGGTCAAAGCGATATTTGTTCATCGGTGACTACACTATTTACAGCGTCACGGTTATGGTGACATTTTCCCGGTAGGTATGTCTGACAGGTCAGTGGGTGAGTAGTAGGGCATTGGACCTTGCCCCGCCTATCGGTGGTGGTGAAACTGATGATCACATGGGGTCCGTAGTGCAGTCCAGCACCACGCCGGCCCGTACTCGGGCTCAGCTTGGGCCCCGGTGCGGCACCGCGCCGGCCGGGGATCGGACTCGGCCGCGGCGGCGGCCCTCCGGTTGCAGCGGCGCCCTCTGCAGCCGCCGCTCGCCGCCGTGTATGGTCACGGCGGCGCCGCCGCCGCCGGAAGTGACGTCACGTGACCGGTCCTGGAGTGGCGTCCGTAACAGAGCGCCGGTCCGGTCCAGTGGGCCGGTGGGGCGGCGGGCTGACCTGCCGGGGTCGGCGGGTCTTCCCGGCCCCCCCCCCCCCACCCCGCCCCGCTGAGGCCTGTCGCGGCCGGCCCGCACACGCGCGCGCCTGCGCTGCCAATGGCGTTGGGGCTGCGCGGCTTCATTTCGGGATAATCCAGGTGGTCAGGCGTCTCACAGAGCTATGGACAGTGTCGAGGCAAGTACAAGCGGCAAAGCTGCATAAAATACGCGCGACAGGAATGTGCACTGACTGGAAGAGCCTCGCTCAGCTCGGCCCGCCGATAGCCGTCTGTGCGATGCGTCGATGCGATGCGTCGATGCTGGCATCGCGTGTGGCCGTTAACATCGCCCACCCGCGCTCCGGCCGTGACGTCACGGCGGCGCTGACTGACGACAGTCAAGGACCGCGAACTCCAGCCGTTCGTCGAAGGGGCCGGGGCTCACCCACTTCGACCCTTGACAGGATGCCGGCCATGCGCGCAGCCCCGGCCAGCCAGGCGGGGCGTCCAGCCGGGGTCACTGGCCGGCTGCCGGCTGCCGGCTGCCGGTAGGGATGCATGCGGAACTGTGGCGCTCGTGTCCTCGGGAGGAGCGCGGCCGGCCGCGGGAGGACTGACGCGTCTGAGCTGCGGCGAGCTCTCGTAGCGCTCGTGTCCTCGGGAGGAGCGCGGCCGGCCGCGGAAGGACTGACGCGTCTGGGCCGCGGCGGGCTCTCGTGTACCGTGGTTTTGGAGTCCGGCCCCCGACTGCGACCGTGGCCATTGGTAATGCATGTCCACCTGATTGATCGACGCCTAGCTGAGCAAGTGTGTTAAATGTACTTGCCATGCTGGTGCATGGTACGGAGACATGGCTCCTTTACGAAACTTTGGATAGGAGACTCGGTACATACGAACCAGCACACAACCATTTTATGCGAGCTTTCCTCTATATAGAACGCTGCCACTGCGTACCTTTCCATCGCAAACGTTATTAAGTAGCAACTTAAACGTTCACAAGCCTTGACCGAAACAAACCTTGGTAGAATACTTTTTACTTTTTGCAAACTATGCTTTAAAACATTTGTCGTTGACAACTTTATACGTTTCAAACGTTTTTTGTCAGGAACCTTGGCATTTCGAACTTTGCCGATACTGGCATGAGTATGCAAACCGTGCTTACGACACCTTTTCATCCACGCACGTTATTGTTATGAGTGTTGCTTCTGGAAGTCTATAACCGCGTCTGTGGTATGTATGCTAGCTACTCTGCATTAGCGCAATGTGTTTAACCATATTGAACCATTAAATATGCGCGAGGAGCAAGCCAACTTTGCAATTGGATGCACACTCGGAGACTTATGACTTGCTTGCACAGGCGTTGAACGTGCAATTATCACGGCATTTGGTGCCGTACAATCTTCAGCAGTCGCAATGCCAAGACGCTGCATGGTTATCGTATCATTACATGAAGTGGTCCACTTTAGTAGTGCCCGTTAGAGGGGCGTGTTTTAATCTGGAATAGCGGCATTTTAGCTCATGTGGAGAAATGCTTAACGCCGAAGTAATCTTCGCTATCTGGTAATCTCCAGCAAAAGCGACGTGAGATTCTTGTGTTTTTCAGGCCAGGATATCAACACTACATGCTTCGAGCTTTTTTGAAACCGTTAACCGCTTCTATTAACACCCAATTTGTCACGTGAATCGGTCATGATAATCCACTTCTTTGCGCGACATTGTAAAATACAAACGACGATAAGCTTTATGTACAACAATAAGCTTTACTACTTACCGTCGCAGGCTGCAATGCTAAGGATCGTTCTGCTGATAGCAGACAGTAGATAAGCCCGCTCCGTGCAGTAACACTAAGCGAGTCTACCCTACTAC